GTGTTTACCCTCTGGGAAACTAACATAATGATGGAACGTCACCATTTTTCACGGCTAAATCAACTATAAATGTGCCATGCTCAATAGCTACGTTAGTTTATGTATGTGTATCCTGTCTATAGGAAATATGTTTGCTTATCATCTGGTAAACTAACATACCTATGGAAAATCACCATGCTATTAATGGGAAAATCCACTATATCTGGCCATTTTCAATAGCTATGTTAAGTTACCAGATGGTAAACCTCCATTTTCCTATGGTTTTCCTAAGGTTTTTCCCAATGCGCAACGCGCGCAAAACGGGGCCTTTCCGACCACGCCATAACTCCCAGGAGCTGCCAGTAGGTGAGGAACGCAAGTCGTGGGGGATGGTTGGTTATGGTTGGTGATTGGGTGTACCAGAATATATATATATATAACATACAAAACATAATGATATATAAAATATAAGAATCTATATATATACATATATATACGTATATATATATGTGTGTGTTTTATTTTTAAATATAATATAATAATACATAATATAATATATAATATAATGTAATATAATTGCATATAATATAATATATATAATATAATATAATATATTAATATAATGTAGCGTTATATATATAAAGATCAAGTATAAAATTGGACACAAACATTAGGCAGTTTGATGCGACGGGCAGACATATACTGATAGCCAAATAGGTAGACGATAGATGGATAGAAGGACAGATGAATTGACGCGTGGGTTGAAAAAGAGGTACCCGATAGACGGATAGAACATCAGGTTGGTGTCAGCATGTAGCCCCTTCACATGGTTCATTGAGTTTGCCTACAGACTCTGCAGGAAAGTTTGGATTTTACCAGCGAAATGTAGGGTGTTCTCTAGATTTCCCCTTCAGCTTCTGGAACGGACGGCCCCTTGTAAAAAGAAGATTTCTGGCTGGCGGCTAGTTTCAACTTATTTTTGTTGTCCATCCCCACTTACCCTCTGGTAAACTAACATAGCTATTGAAAATGGCCATTTATAGTGGATTTACCCATTAAAAATGGTGGTTTTCCATAGTTATTTTATTTTACCAGAGGGTAGTATCATGAGCTCCACATGACTCTTATATTCTGGGCATGAGATAAGACCAGGAGTGAAATCCCAAGTTTTGATCACGATTTTCTTGAAAACTCACCATGTTAAATCCATGTTCACTTATCCATTTTTATGGATTAAACTGGTTAAACATCCATTTTTTCTTCAACAGTTTCCATAGATTTTCTTTATCCATTTTATTTACTTCGGCCTTGGGTCCGTTGTGAAACTCTGGTGTTTCCCATGCAGATGAGCCTGCGGACACTTGTCGCGACTCTGCCCTCCATACCCATGCAGCTCTGCAGACACAGGCGGGGTACACCCGTGCCCATTGTATACGCGCATATGCATAATATATATATATACACATATGTTTATGCATATGTATATATACATATATAGAGAGAGTTTAGTATATATAATTGACATATATTTTGTTATTCATGACATTTCATGACTTATGCATTTGATTTATTGATTATTTTTCTATGTAGTGTAGTGGTTTACCATTCATCCTTGGTCGCACTATCATTCTTGCCGGTTTCCCATCCCAATGTTTGCATTAGAGAATTGGCATTTATTGGCTATTTATCCTTGCACAAACCGATTTCATATGGTTATGTCCGCATTTTAAACCGGTATAAATGCATTCTAACACAAAAACATGCTGCTATTTTTTGCAACCCACCATGACATCATCTCCCACGATGGCCCTCCTGTTCCGTTCAAACAAATCACCATGTTCGTTGCTTGATATTTTGAACGCCACGACATCATGGACAATAATGGCCATCTTCCATTTATAATTCCATGAAAATCTTCCATGAAATCCTTATCATTCCCATATATCCTATGAAAATCCCATTTATAACATCCCTATCATCCATTTATAACATGAACCTTTCCCCTGAAATCCCCCATTTTTTCCCATGTTTTCATGGCCAGCCTCCAGGCCTTCGTGAAGAGTTTTATGGCCATCACGGACAAACGCTTCACCTCGAAGGGCGAGAGCGTGGTCGAGGTGGACACGGCCTTGTCCTCCAAGAAGTCACTGCGATGGTTCAAAGGAGACGGGGAATGGGTGAAAAATGGGGGGTTTATAGTGGTTACCCTCTGGTTATGTCAAAATAGCTATTGAAAATGGCCATTTATAGTGGATTTTCCCATGAAAAATGGTGATTTTCCATAGCTATGTTAGTTTACCAGAGGGTAATCGTGACATGATAAGGCCAAGGATATTGATGATTGCGGAAGTTGATGTCTTTTTGGCAAACGACATTAAACTCCATCACCAAAACAGTCTATCAAGATGAAAGGTTCATTACGCAAAGCCGCCTATTATCATTCCATATCATTGACATTCATACATTGTAGGACTCTAATAGAGTTTAACTGTTGCTTGGATGAATATTAGAGATATCCTTACACACATTTATTTCATGCGGTCATGATGAGCTGATGGTAAAATGAATTGGGTGTTTCCTAAAATGCTTGATCCCCAAGTCACATAAGTTCATATACAGTAATTTCTGTATACATATATATATATATCCCATTTTAATCTAAACCTGCCACTGCCATGCCATGCCGATGTAAGGTCCACCGTGGCCATGCCCATGGCCCAGATGAAACTGGCTCAAACGTTGGAACGTCACCTGACTGGGAAGGGGACCCTGAACTGCAGGTTTTGCTGATAAAATCATAGGAAAACCATTGGTAAACCACAGGAAAACCATAGGAACATGAGTTTTTGGAACATCGTAGGAAATCACAGGAAAACCATAGGAAAATGGAGGTTTACCCTCTAATAAACTAACAGTTTGCGAACTGGAACATCACCATCTTTCATGGGTAAATCAGCTATTTTTATGGGCCATGGCTTCAATAGCCTAACTGTAAAATTGCCAGTATCATCCAAGAATGGGATTTCAACATGGTTTTTGGAGTCCCCCATTATAGCCTCTAGTAAAAGAAAGCATGGCAATGGGTTTAACCCATCACTTAGTTCCATGATTTCCCAGTTACCCTCTGGTAAACTAACATAACTATGGAAAATCACAATTTTCAATGGGAAAATCCACTATAAATGGCCATTTTCAATAGCTATGTTAAATTACCAGTTATATAAATATTCGAACTGCTAATTCTGGGGAATTTCCCAGCCACCCAATGAGGGGGATGATTACCAAGCCAACGAACAAAGGACCCACATTTAAATCCATGTTTATAAATCCATTGAAATCCATTATTCATAGGTTAGATCCCCATTTTTCATCCTAAAACCATGTTATACCATGTTAAACCTATGAATAAGTTTTGTGAAACCTATGAAACCTAGCATTTTTCAATGAAAGTTAAACCCCTCTTATCACAGAATTGGATGATGGGAAACTTTACAGGAAACCCCGATATTTGATGGTAAAAACATGTAAAAACCATGGTTTCCGGTTAAGATTTTTCCTTAAACCAATCCCTCTGGCCAGGCCGTCCCAAAACCTGACCCAGGCCTCTCAGCCCCCAAAAAGCGCCGTGGCCGCGCGCGGCAGAACGCGGGGGACCGCGAGAAGGGGCCCGAGCAGTCGTCTGAGGCGCGCCGGACGGACTGGTTATAGTGGTTAGTCATCATTTACAGGCATTATATAACCCATAGGATCCATGTATGGTATATATGCTAACATTTACCATCAATATACCCCCAATGTTAGCATATATATACCATACATGGATCCTATGGGTAATGATAATCATTATTTATAGGGATTGCAGGGATTATATCCATCATTATCCATGATTTATTATAGATTAATCCCCATGAATTATATAGGGATTATTCATGAATTTGCAGAGATTACATTCATTATCCGGACTATTTTCAGGGATTACTGTATAGATCATTGATAGGGATGATATGCCCATAATTTCTATTAATCCATGATTGTTAAAGGGATTTTCTGATCCCTATTCATAGGGATAAAAAACAAAAACATCGGGATGATATATCAGATACCCTCTGGTTATTTAACATAGCCATGGAAAATGGCCCATTTATAGATGGTTTACCTATTAAAAATGGGGATTTTCCATGGCTATGTTAAATAACCAGATGGTATATCCATCATTAGCCACAGCGGGGTGAACAGGGAGGGAGCTGTTCGGAGCTATTTTTGCATCTCTAGATTCCCCAGTTGGGGAGCTGTTCGGAGATACGAATTGATGTTTCCAAAAACATGATTTTTTGCGGGGAAAACAATAATATATAAACCATCCCCCAACAAAAACCATGATCAAATAGGTGGTATAAACAATTCCCAAATGGGTGGTTTGCTATTGTTTTACCCCGCATTAGTCTAGTTACCAGTTTTTTTCAGGATTTCACCATGGAGGATAAGGATTTAACATGATCTAAACGATTGGAATACAGGGATTGAACTTGAAGGATGGCCATGATTGTTGATGATGTCATGGTTTCTATCATTGGAATATTATAGGCTAGGATCTAACCAGCAAAAATGCTGCTACAATTGTTTTTGAATTGGTTACAATAGGAGTGTGTTTTTCCCCAACAGCAAAACTTGGCTATGGGGTCTTTAGCCCAGATTAGCTCCAGTGCGATCCGGTGCAGCTTCAACACCAGGTTCCGGACAAGGTTCCTGAGGGTTCTGGTGCAGAAACCTCGTGAGGTTCTGGAGGGTTCCGGTGCAGATACCTCGTGAGGTTCCGGAGGGTTCCGGTGAAGATACCTGCTGAGGCTCCGGAGGGTTCGTGCGGTTCCAGAGGGTTCCGGTGCAGATACCTTGTGAGGTTCCGGAGGGTTCCGGTGCAGAGACCTTGTGAGGTTCCGGAGGGTTTTGGCGGAGAAGATGCTTGGTGAGGTTCCGGAGGGTTCCGGTGCAGATACCTTGTGAGGTTCCGGAGGCTTCTGGTGCAGATTCTTTGTGAAATTCCAAAGGGTTCCGATGTTATTTATGCCATAAGCACTTAATTTTTATGGCATAAGCGCTTAATTCTCATGACATAAGCACTTTTCACGGCAAAAGTGCAGAAGCTTTCAAGCTGTTGGGGATAGCACCTGAGTTATTTTCTGAAAATGTAAGAGGAACCACCCCTGAATCCATGTGTTGGTCATCATTTTCCCTATGAAGATATGGTAATTTTGGGTTATACCTCAATTTCAGACAAAGCCAGCTGACCAACCAAAACGTGAGGGAGGCAGACTGGGTAAAGCTTGGTTCAGCAATGTTCAGCAGCTTAGTGGGCCAATGTGTTGAAATCATAAATCATGGGAATATGCCAGCCAACATCCAAGATTAGCCATGATGAATGTTAAGTTTCGGGCTTCTTACCTCCATCTACTGGACTTCAGTTTGCCATCTTTGGGGTGACCCCCTTTGGAGATACCGAACAGCAAGATGTCCACTGGTTCTAACTGATCTACAAGCGGTAAAGCGATTGAATCCAAGTTGTTAACATATATGTATTATGTATATATATATATATGCATTTGTGTTCCAACAGGAAAAATTGAACACAAATAATCACTAGCCCTTTAACATCACCCCTTAGTTCGATTCCCGTGAAAACTCACATGAATCCCATGAAATCAACATGAAATCACCATTAAATCATCATGAATCCCCACATTTTCCTCTGGTTTTCCTATGGTTTTCCCATCAATCCCATCTAGAGATTCCCCCATTAAGACCACCCCCTGGGGAACGAGCAGCTCCAGGAGATGCAGCTGGAGCTACAGAAGAAGAAGTTGAAGGAGCACACCATCCGTCGCTCCTTGGAGCAACATCCATTAATTATCCATGACATCCTCACTGGAATCATGGTTTATGTTAGGGAAATCATCCCCAACCATAGGAAAATGGAGGTTTTAATGGGAAAATCATAGGAAAACCATAGGAAAATGGAGGTTAGTACCCTCTGGTAAACCATACAAATAGCTATTGAGAATGGCCATAGAAATAGTGGATTTTCCCATGAATAGCATGGTGGATCATGGTGATTTTCCCCATGGTTTATGTTAGTTTACCAGAGGGTAAGGGAAATCATCCCCAGCCATGGCCGAACTATTCAGGTTAGTGAAATATCATAATTTATCTGAAAAATCCAGATGTATTTTTCCATGATATAATTCCTTGATTCATCCATGATTGATCTGGGTATGAATGAATCTTCCATTCATTATTCGTTGATGCTGAAAACATAATTCAGGCATACCGTCATACCCAGAACATCCCAGAACGAACTTCGCAACATATTTTCACATACCAATCAAACATACGTATACTTGGTATTCATGAATGTGTAAATGACATGTTCGATTTTTCGGAGGTTGCTTTAAATATATCCCAGATGCTCCATGGTACTGGAATATTTACCAACATTTGCCCGAACAAAATCACCCAGTTATGTACGTAAATATACCATACATGGAGCATTTGGGTATTGACCTAACCTGGTGCTGGTTCCGCTCACATCAAGGGATGGGCCATGGATGGCCATGGCTCAGGTGTGATTGCTGGTGATGGCTACCAGGACGGAGCTGGGAAAACCAGAGCCACTAGAAATATAGGGATTATATAATTATATATATATAAATATCCCATAGGATCCATGTATGGTATATATGCTAACATTGGGGTTATATGGATGGTAAATGTTACCATATATAGCATTCATGGATCCTATGGGTATGGAGGTTTCCATGGTACCCCAAAATGGTTGGTTTAAAAAATGGAAAATCCCAATCTAAAATGGAAACCTGCATATATATATATTATATCATTTATAAGGATATCATATCCAGCATTCATTCCTATTAAAACTATGAATCCCCATTAAGCTATCAGCAGTGAATGGAATGAGCTTAAGGAGCTTCTTGGAGTCTCCCAACCAGATGATCCGTAAAATAAAATCATGGCGATGGAAAGAGGGAGAGAGAGAATAGTGATATGAACTTCGCAAGTATATAGAAATACGCACGGAGATAGAATTATAATGAATTATACATATATGCACTGGTTGGTGGTTTGATTTGTTTTTATTTCTCCATATATTGGGAATGTCATCCTCCCAACTGACGAACTCCATCATTGTTCAGAGGGGTAGGTCAACCACCAAGCAGATGCAAGTACAGAAGTTACCCTCTGGTAAACTAACGTAACTATGGAAAATCACCATTTTTAATGGGAAAATCCACTATTAATGGCTATTTTCAATAGCTACGTTAAATTACCAGAGGGTATACATATCTGTGTAGATTATGGTGACCTCACTGTGACTTCACTGGAATGAAGGTTAGTCGGGGGGAATCATCCCGAAAAAAAAACGAAAATTTCAGGTGAGTGATTTTTTTTAGCCTACCCAGATGCATGATTTATAAGTATTTTGATAACAAATATATATATAATAAATACATAAACATAAATATAGATAAATATAAATGAATAAATATACAAATAAATATACATAAACAAATATATACTGTATATATATATATATACTTTAAGTGGGATGATATTCTTTAAACACTGGTAACACGATATTCCTGTATTGAAGGAAACGCCTGCTATAAATCATGATGCAGTATCGGCCCGGCCCTTGGGACATTGCGGCATGACTTGGTTTCTTGCGGTAGGTAGAAACGGTTCTAATAGGATCATGTGGGATACAGTTTCATCACATATAAAACGAGTACTTGTACCCAATTCGGTGATATCATGTCATATCAGATTATAAATTAATGATGCTCAAGTTACCCTCTGGTTATGACTAACAGTTTGCGAACTGGAAAGATCCACACACATTTTTAAGTTCCCTAAACCATCTATTTCTATGGACCATCTATACCATGGCGAACTGTTAGTCATAACCAGAGGGTACATTACCCATAGGATCCATGGTGCTGGTATATATGCTAACATTTGGGGTATATTGATGGTAAATGTTACATAATGTTAGCATATATACCATACATGGATCCTATGGGTTAGGTCAATATATTTAAAATGATGATTTTCCATAGCTATGTTAAATAACCAGAGGGTATATGATCATCCCCCAGTTCTGAAGAAAATCCAGTTGTAGGTCGGGGTGTTTTTCGGGGATCCCATGTGGTTCCCCAGCCGCGCAGCCCAGGAGTATGAGGGGGACTCGCGTTTGCCGGCGGATCGTCAAAGCACTTATGCCATGGACGAGTTGAGCGGCCGAGAGCTCACCAGCATCTTGGCGGATTTTCCCCATTGAAAGCTCTATTTATTTAGATTTCCCAGCCATATTTGATGAAACCGGAGAGTATATTCCATAATCATCTGGTTGGTGGTTTGGAACATGTTTTTTTCCATCTACTCTTGGGAATGTCATCCTCCCAACTGACGAACTCATATTTTTCAGAGGGGTAGGTCAACCACCAACCAGAAAATATTGTCCCAATTTGATGAGTTTTTTTTGAGTACCAAATACTAACGGGAATTTCACCATCAACAATGGGATTTTTCATGGGATGCAATGCGTTCATCAGCCGTCAACCACTGTCTTCACCGTCTCGGGAAGGTAGAGACAGTCCCAGCGCCAGCTCGGTATCTGTTCTTACTTGGGACCTAAATTGAGACTCCATTCGGTTATCCTGCAAAGGATGTGTAGATTTTAAGTGGCTGGACGGCTGGACTGGACATTTTGGGTGGATTGAGCAGTTCAAAGTAGACAACACCCCAAGAACCCAGTCTGTCAGTGTGTGTGTGTGTGTGTTGCAGCTTGGTGCAAATATCTTTGCAACACCCTCAGCCGCTGATAGATCTCCTCCAGCGTCTTTCTGGGGCATTTGTCGACAGTTCCAATTGCCTTTGGGTGCTGATGACTATGGGCGAGATATGTCAAGATCCCCCAAATGTTGTTTTTGTGTCCTTTTTCGAGCTTAGCCGTGCCCAGTACGCATGGTAATCATTGCATTTTGAAGTGGCAAAGCCAAGCAGAAACCATCCAGGTTTGCTGGGTGTTTATGATGGGGAAGGGATTACTGTAGCACTTGTGATCCCAAACTCTTCGAATCTAAACGCATTTCAGCCTATAGGTACTATAGGTCTTCATGGATACCCCAAGATACGGCCTTTTTCATGGGGAAAATAAGTGAAAATAAGGTCCGAAACTAATGTGATGACATGTCGGAATGGGGCTCCAATCAAAGGAGTTTTTTTTGGGATGGTTCCTCGACACCCCTTCAGCACAAGGTGGTACTCCATACTGCTACGTTGGTTTAATATCTGGGTTAACTAGGGTTAACTAGGCCGGGTTAACTAGGATTGGTGGTGGATATATGTACCGTTGGTTTTTTGATCATAAACGAATATATAACAATATATAAACATACCGTGATAAACCCGAGAATTTTTGGCGTCCCAGATGGGGTTTATTTTCAGTTGGGTCCTGAGGGATGACATTTGATGAACCCCATGGATTTTCGGAAGCCATCCCTGTAGATTCGACGGCTTCCCTACCCATATGCTCCATGGTGCTGGTATATTTACCTACATTTGGATCATTTATGGGGTAAATGTTGGTAAATATTCCAGCACCATGGAGCATCTGGGCTATATTTTCCCCTGAAAAATGAGGAAATGAGGACCTCCCCCTTCCCGCAGGCACTGAAAAGAGCAACATCACGGCCGTCTTCCGTGAGTTGCTGAAGACCTCGGGCGTCACCGAGCGGGCGGAGCAGCGGAAGGACGCCACCGCTGCTCCATGGTGCTGAGAATATGAATCCCAACATTTGCCCGAACAAAATCACCCAGTTATGTAGGTAAAGAATTGGTAAATATACCATACATACATGGAGCATATGGGATATCTTTCCACTTTCCATCTCCGTTTTCGGAATGACCAGAGGGCGATTGATGATCTGTAAGATCCGTTCGTTCTGGAAGAGCCTGGAAACGCGGCGAGGACGGGCGAGATGCCAAGGCCGAGGAGGAAAATGTGAGGCCGGCAAGGGCGGCCTGTGGGATTTCCGTGAATTCAGTGGATTTCAGCGGATTTCAGTGGAATTCTATCCAGAATTCATCTGACTTAATGTCAACCCTGGATTAATAAACCCCTAGGCTGTTTAATTGGGAAGGTACCATTTCAGTATCAAATCATGACATTGGGGGAATACCCCCCTAATTAATAAACCATGGTTTATTAATCCGGGGTTGACATTAATCAGTTTATGGATCAAAACCCTGGAATTGTCATGAATGCTCCAGTGGTGAACGGAGCTCTGAATCGAGCTATGGTTCTATCCATATTCCCCATGAACAATGGGGAGCCAAGGAGCTACGAAGTGAGTTTCCCCACTACAACTAAATGATAGACTTATCTCTTGGGAATTCAATCATTGTGATTTGCCAAGAACTTGTTTTTTGCCATTGATATATGCGCTTGTTTGCCATGATTTTCTTGCTGAATTTACTGCATCAAAGGGTTTTGTATCATACTGGAAATGGCTTTTGTCCGGCTCCACGATGGATTTAAGTTCTGGTTGGTGGTTTCAAAATTTTTTTGTTTTTCATAATATATGGGACAATCCTTCCCATTGACGAACTCATATTTTTCAAGCTGGTTAAAACCACCAAGCAGTGCTTGTCTTTGTAGTGTCCTTGGTGTCAGTATGTCATCCCTTTTGCTGACAGACTTTATTTTTTCTCGCAGGTGTTGAGAGTGGTGTTGAGCCTAATGTCAGCATGTAGAAAGCATGATTATCTTACTGGTGCTTAGCAGGGAATGGATGGGAATGGGGGTTGCTGGGATGATTATTACTAGTGAACTAGTGATTATGGATCATTCCCTCATTCCCTACTAAGCACCAGTAAGTTTTCTATTCAGTATGACACTGACAAGTCAGTGAATCCATATTGACATCCGAGGTAGACAATGACATCTCAGACATCTCCCAGAAACGATCCAAAGATTACAGTGCAGACTCAATCTCCATTTGAGCGGCGTTTTTTTTTAAAATGATTTATTTTGCTGGTTGGTGGTTTGGAACATGAATTTTATTTTCCATAATATACTCAATAATCATCGCAACTAACTTTCATATTTTTCAGAGGGGTTGAAACCACCAACCAGTTTGTATGATGAGGGAACTCAACATATGACCGCGAAGGCATTTGTGTGATACGTGTCAATCCGCGAAGGCTTGCGAAGCCTCTCGGCGTAAGCTTCTAGATTTGACACATGCGAAGGCATCGTCGCCTCAAAGGTCTTGAAACGTCTTGCCAGACGCATGCCTTTCTAGAATTCCAGGCCCCGTTTGCGAAGCCCGGCGAAGCCCCTGCGAAGCCTACGCGAAGCCTTCGTGGACCAATTTCCTGCTATCACCCTCTCGCCTCCGCATCTGAGGCTCAAACCTCACCTTCCTTTCCCCCAGCTGCTGAGACATGGTATCTTGTTCTGGCTAGACAAGAGCCCCCGCGAAACCAGTTCGCGAAGGCAGAAGTGTTCCGCGAAGCCGCGCGAAACCAACCTTTGCACAAATCCATGCCTTGCGTAGCCATTAGCGAAGCCCCCGTATCAGTGCATAGGCCTTTGGCAAGAAAAACGCGGCTCAATTTGTTCTGACGAAATGCATAAATCCATATATGGGTGCAAGTCAAAAATAGTCAAATTATAAGGTCCGGAACAAGGTCCGGGCCCCGTTCCATACCCCCGTTCCATACCTGTTTGAAGGATCCGTTCCATACCTCTGTTCCATATCTCCGATCCATACGTTGTTATGATACATAATATGAATCCAGTGTTGTTTACCCTTTGGCACCCCAACTTGGCAAGGAAATGTCCCCCTGTGTGCAATTGATCAAATTAATTGTGTAAATAATGTTCTTCTGGTTGGTGGTTTCAAACATTTTTTATTTTTCATAATACAAGTATATGTCATCCTTCCCATTGACTTTCATATTTTTCAGAGGGCTTGAAATCACCAACCAGTTATATTATTCATTAGATCAGGTATTACTTTACAGTAATCACTAATAACCATGGTTAAAACCACTATTCATCACTATTAACCATGGTTATTGTACTGTAAGCCTATCCCCCTGGTGAACATCAAAATAGCTGGTAAATGGATGTTCATCCCCCTAAAAATGGTATTTATAGGTATTGATCCATAGCCAAATGGGGATTTTCCATTGTCAGGTTGTGGGAAGGTATCGCTCCCGCCACAGACTGCCCAGGGGCCCTTCAGGGGCAGTGATTTCGTGGAACGAGGCCGCGACGGTGTCATGGGCTTTGCCCAGCCTGAAACAACGTGGTTTCCGAAAGACAACGGTAGATGGTTCAAGGGAAAATATGGGAAAATCTACAGGGAACATTGATATTTCATTGGAAAAAATATAAAAAATGATGGTTTTCTGTGGATTTGCCTTAAACCTAAAGTCAAACACATGCCATAATTTGGGGTATTCCCCCATGTTTGGGGTAATATGGCTCAAAACAATCCGCATCAAACGCCACAACTAACAAATACTGACAACAAACACAGCACTTGGACGGCCCACTGAGTTTGTAAGAAATGACAAAGCCACATATTTGGTGACAATAGGGTGGCTTTTGTGGATGTCGATCCACCAAAGAGCAACCCCTGACGCAGTCATTGCGAATTCTGCTTGCAGGTCGCCAAGACCCTCCGTGGTCGTCTTTCAAATGTTGCTAGCAGCATGTTCATTTGGGGGAGCTGAATCATGTATGGCTTGAGTTTGGAAACTGATAAACTGGAAGGGTAAGAGCGAACATGTTTGAAACATGGGTTTACTATGGTTTACTGTTGAGAATGCTCATCGTTGGGTTCCTTTTCATTCCCGGGATAAGAAGTTCAAGTGGTCAAAGCCTCCAGGCCAGCTCCAAAACTTTTGTGGTTTCACCATGGATTTCCCCTTGCCAGGTGAGTAGTTTGGCGACAGAAAAAAGCCGGGTCGTAATCCCCAAAGAACCGGTGAAATGTAATTTTTCTACTGTTTGATTAGGAATTTAGCAAATCCTATTGTATGGGGGTTGCTATATTTATGTGTAATGTGCATATCATTGCGTGTATATATATAATATATATATATATATATATATGCGCGCGCGTGTGTGTGTGTGTACATTTATCCCAATATCAACCTACATATCCATATATATATATACAGATATATATACACATATATATATGCGCGCGTGTGTGTGTGTACATTTATCCCAATATCAACCTACATATCCATATATATATACACACACATATATATATATATGTGCGTGTGTGTGTGTGTAAATTATAGTGACATCACTGTGACCTCACTGGAATCATGACTGGCAAGGAGAATCATCCCCAAATGGCCCAACATTTCATGTGAGTGAAATATTTTTGTTTTCCCATACACACACACATATATATATTTATGTGCGTGCTTGCTTGTGTGTGTGATTGGGGGTTCTGGAAAACATCCAGATGTGACAATCTGAGTGCTTTTCTTTCTGAGTTTAAAAAAGTGCCTTTTTTCGTGGCCGTTGTGCCCTTCTAAGGCTCACGTGCAGCGTTTGGGCGTCTACTTTGGTCTCAAGGGACTCAAAGGCGGACAAATCCAGGGAGAGTCTGTGGGTGTTTTGAATGGGTAATCTTAATGGGTTAATCAATTGCCAATACTGTGATGATTGTATAACAGTTAATGATAGTGGATACATATTAACAGTTAACACTCATCATTATTGGATACATATTAACAGTTAATGATAGTTTAATGAGAATGCATTTTAATGATAGTTTAACCCATAGGATCCATGGTGCTGGTATATATGCTAACATAAAGGGGGTATATTGATGGGATCCATGTTACCATATATGGCATACATGGATCCTATGGGTAATGATGAGTGTTAACTGTTAGTCATGCTTAAGAAATTAATGGTACTTGTCAAAAATGTCTTTCTCGTGGGTCAACTATGAGTTAGTTCACAATGGTCAATGGGATGTTTAATGTTAGATAATTTCATGAAACCATTTAGGTCTGTAATGGGATGTAATAATGAGAAAAACATCCATAATGAAATATGATGGGGATGTAGCCGGGATAATCAACTTAATATGGATGATTTGAGTTTGTCTGAGAAATGATTGGTTTAACCAACCAAAAAAGTAAGCTAATGGGATACAATGAGAATTAACCAGTTAAACAAACTTGATATATTTGGGTCTGTCTGAAAATGATGATACCTTAATTTATTGTCATTTTTATGTTGGATGCTCCATTGCGAGACACACCCATTTGGTCATAAGGGAGTTGAAAGTGTACCCTCCTGCCATCAAACACGGCTAGCTGGGACATTTTCTGGGATGTTGTAAACTTAACTCATATATATATATATATATAAACTGCAGCCGGAACAATGATGGTCATAAGGGCAAGCATCCCCAGTTTGGCCGCATGATGCCACGAGACCATTGGTGCCTTTACCTCACCCATTCTACCAGCCCAAACATGGGAAAACCATAGGAACATGTGAAAATCATAGGAAAACCATAGAATGGAGGTTTACCCTCTGGTAAACGTTTACATAACTATGGAAATCACCATTTTATAGCTGGGAAAATCAACTATTTCTATGTGCTATTTTCAATAGCAATTTTAAATTACCAGAGGGTAATATCTGGGGTGTTGGGAGCCTAATAATCTCATCATTTCCCTTCATAATGATTGTATAACAATCTCCCATCAACCTCCTGCCAACTAACATTAAATGTGGTTTTCACCCACCATTTGGAGATCATGTTCCGTTCAGGGGTTTCCCCATAGGTTTCGCACATCTATGTATATAAAAACGTATACCCTAGGGTCATCCCATATTGTTGATTATATTCTCCCATGATATGTTCCATCCATATCCCATTCATACCCATTAATTTATGCCACAAAAATATCCCATGAATCATTCATATCCATTAATCCCACAAAAATATCCCATGAATCATTCATATCCATATCCATCAATTAATCCCATTCCTACCCTTGGGGCCCTTGGGGCTGGGGTCATGGGACGACCGGTCCCACCAGGCAAGATCCGGCAGAACCTCTACGTCGAGCGCTTGGGACTTTTGGTGCCCCGGCGGAAAGTCGATGGTCCACTGGTTTTTGTCGCTAACATCGAACGAAATGGATGAACTGGTGGATTTTCAATGGCCACATTTGATTTCCGACCTGTTCCCCAACGACCGTTCCACCACTCAGAAGTTGGGGCCCGCGCATTGGGGTAAGGTTTGTTTTTTTTTTTCTGTCGTTGCAATCCAGAAAATGCCAATCAGAAAGTGAGTCAAATCATATATGTGTCCCGGATGTTCTGCATTTGAGTAAGCCAAGCTGAGTTGTCGCAAACCCACAGCTAACCCAGGGAAGATTCAGAAAAGTCACGAGTTTCCACTAGCTAATTTAGGTTGCACGTTTACACACACATATATATATGCATATGGGAGTTTCAATATGCATCTGGACAAACAACATCGTCATTTATTTTTCATATGTTCACTACAAGTTTAAGAAAGAAGGTAGACAAGTATCTTGCGACCATTTTAGATTGGGATTATACCAAATTATATTTTTTTGGGGTTTGCTAATAAATTACAAGGTGGTGCACCCTAAACCAAACTATTGGCCACCACGGTCACCCTTATAGCTTAGTTGATGTGCATCCAGTTGGTTTCGACCGTTGATATCCTTACACATATTATTCGCATTCAGGATGTTGCAAACATATTTTCATGATCTGCCTGAAAACTTCCCTACAAATAACTCAAATAACCCACTCAGCCCCACCTGAAAAAAGCATCATATTCCATGAAATCACATATAAAACCAATGAAATGCAATGAAATCCCACAACATCACTAGAATTTCGGATAAATTGTAGGTTGAATCTATGATTCCCTATTGCCATGTTGGACCAACAGAGCTTAAAACCAGCTTAGCCCCGCCTTAATATTCCACTAAACTTCCATTAAATCCCATAAAAACCCTTCAAATCCCAGAAGAAACAACATAAATTTGGAGAACAAATCCCATCTCAAAATCAAATAAAATGTAAAATTCCATAAAACCTGTCAACATCTCAAAAAAATCCCTGAAAGAAACCATCAGATCCCATTAAAATCCCATTAAACAAAATCATACATCTCATTAAAAATCCCATTAAACAAAACCATCAGATCCCATAAAAATCACATGGGATTTTCAACCTTCCATAGGTCACCGCCAGCCCCGAGCGCCGCCTGCGCATCGCCTTCGGTCTCCTGGACGTGGGCGGCGATGGCGTCATCGGGCGCCGCGACGTCTTTGCCGCGCTGGCGGCCACGCGTTTTGAGGCCACTGGTAGAGAGACCCAGGGAAAATCATAGAAACACCATGGGAAAATTGGAAAATCATAGAAAAACCATAGGAAAATGGAGGTTTACCGTCTGGTAAACGTTTACATAACACACAGAAAATAATCCGTTTTTAACAGGTAAATCAACTATTTCTATGGCCATGAACCAAAATAGCGAACTGTCAGGGATTTAATTGGGTTTTTATTGGTTGCTTTTCATGGGGATTTATGGGAGAATGATGGGCCATAAACCACCAATTTTTGAAAAAAAATGAAACATGTCCAGGTTTTCGCACCAATTTATGTTGGATTCAGTAGTTATGTTAGTTTACCGGAGGGTATATGTCATTTGTAGGGGTTATATCCATCGGCCATTGATTCCCATGAAAATCCCTATGAAAATCTATCGGTGAACTGTTCGGGAACTCTTCGGAGCTGGTCTCCATATTCACATATATTCCTTACTGTAATATGAGGAGCCAAGGAGCTACAAAGAGTATCCCAACCACATGATAGACCAAAAATAAACAGCAGCATCCAACAGTCCGACATAGTCCAACTGACGTTGTCGGAGAAGTGTGGCATGAATTCCGGCTGACAATCCCCACTAAGTTGCATCCTATGTGCCATTCACTTCCATTAATACCAAGTTGAATACCCCATTTTTTGTGATTAAATCAATATATCCCATGAACACCTTTCTGAATATCCTATGAATATCCCATGCTGGCGTCATTAAAAGCTAAGCATGTAAAAATCCATGGGTTCATCCTGAATATCCCATGAATATCCCATGAATATCGGTAAACTCACATAACCATGGAAAATCACCAATTTTAATGGAACAATCAACTGTAAAATGGCCATTTTCAATAGCTATGTTTGTTTACCAGGCCGGGTATCTGATTGGATTGGTTTAAGGGACATTTTACAGGAAACCAGAGTTATTTTCCCATGAAATATGGGGCTTAAACCAGTAAATTTTCCCAACAAAACCAATCCATTGAGTATCCCATGATTCAGTGATTCAGCCCAGAATCCACTGAATCCACTCAGCCATTCCCCCAGGACCCGGGCTTCACCGACTTCGTCACTGCCGTCTTCACGCAACCGGGCGCCTACGGCATCCACTTCGCTGACTCGGTGGGAGATGGGAGATGGGTGCAGAATGGGATTTCTTGGGGCAATCCCTATGGATACCCTCCAGTAAAACTAACATAGCTATGGAAAATTGTCATTTATATTGGATTTTCCCATTAAAAATGGTGATTTCCAATAGCTATGTTAGTTTACCAGATGGTACTCCCCAAGGGATTGATACCCTCTGGTAATGACTAACATAGCTATTGAACATGACCATAGAAATAGTGGATTTTCCCAGCTAGAAAATGGTGGATCTTTCCATAGTTATGTAAACGTTTACCAGAGGGTATCCCAGATTTTTTCCTATATATGCTAACATTTGGGGTATATTGATGGTAAATGTTACCATATATAGCATACATGGATCCTATGGGCAAGGGATTGATATCCCAGATTTTTTTTCGGTGAATTCCAGTAATCATGAGACATCAATGCCTCAACTCAATGCCGAAAAATAGGACACGCCATCGTTGCTGGTGGTGGACGTGGTGACCGAGAGTCCAGCGGAGAAACAGGGCGTGCGCCTGGGTAGCCGACTGGCCAAGATCAATGGCATGCACGTGGAGACTCGGCACAGACGGTGCTAGGATACCCTGGGGTAAATTCAGGTGGTAAAACCCGGTAAAACCCATGGTTTTTCCATAAAATATGTAAAAACATAGGGTAAACTATTTATAGATGTGGAAAATCGACGAACATCTGGCATTTAAGTAGATCTTTTTCCGGTGAAAAACCATGTGTTTTCCACGTTCTTTTTGTATGTTTACCCTCGGATAAGCCTCGATTCAGTTTGTTAAGTTTTATCAAAAGAGTAGGGGAGGTTATCAATTTAATAGCAATTTATCACTGTCACCCAATTATTAGTCGGGGGTTGTTAATCTGGGCTTTACATGGCCCGCATGAATGGATCGATCCTTTACTTGGGGTGCTTCCAGGATTGATTTGGAAGTGGCTAGCAACCATAGTAGAACGAAGTTATAACTCTACTGAGGCTTAAAGTAACTGGGATGCACACACCACAGCCCTGGATCAATAACCACCTGCTTTACGAATGGGGGTGGCCCCCAAAATAATGATAACTTACTGTTAGAAAGTTAGAATTAGCTGCCCCCTTATTGACAAACCAGTGATTTACCAATCCGGGATTGACATTCATGGGTTCAGGCCTTCATTGGGTGTGGAATGCTTGGATGATTTTGTAGATGACACATATAAACGATATAAACCACCAGACATCCTCATGGAATCTGGGCTAACTGACTGGTTGGCTTTCCCGATCTCAAGTGGCCCAGCACGACTCAGCACGTTTAGCTCGGGGTGAAACCCCAAAAACACGGGCTTTTGCACATCACATCGTTTTCTTGCTTTGGAGGGTCAACATCAGCCACAATGCCGATCAAGGATGCTGGTGTTTCAAAAGACATGGCGTGGCTCAACATTTTTCACCCCAAATCTCCTTTGCTTTATCACATATGGAGGCTACACATGGGTAATTTCGGCTCAAACATATGCATCAGTTTTTATGCATTATGTATATATAATTTTATATATATGTTACATGTCACAATTATGTCACATATACATATATCAGCACGCAACCATTTTCTGGGTCCGCTGGCGCCTTTTTTTGAGCCATTTCCACCAAGGACAGGTTGACCCCTGAGGAAGTTAGGGCCCTGTGACTCGGCCAGGCCCAAAAAATGGGGCTTTTCCCGGGCCCTTCCCATAGGCCGGAATGGGAATGGGATGGTATACACATCAAAAGTTTGTTTTGCATTTTTTTCCGGGGAAAATGAGCTGTGAAAGATGACATTTGGAGGTGTTATGTAGGTGTTCCCCTACATTTTCAGACAACAAAAAGCCATGACTACTACCCTGCTGATGATCTGATGGATAGCATGGGGGCATCACGGCTCATGGGCCACCCGATTTCCATGAAAGCCTCACCCATTGATTCAGGCTGTTCTCCAGGGGACGTGCGATACGTGCGATGATCGGTTCAATGGTTGAGTGCAATGTTTCGGTCATGCTAGGGGTAGTACTATCGACGTGTTTGGTTTGCTTCAGAGTCATGGCCGTCCAGACTTGAGAACCACTTGTGCAAATACATTGCATGAAACTTGGAGAATAGTGAAGAGAGAAAAAATAGTCCTGTGACTTTGCCCATCCCATCATCCAAAAAACTGTTCACAGATACAACTATTAGAAACTTATAAGACACATTGATTGGGTCGCATTGGGTCTTAAAATTGCTAAGATTTTCTGTTCATTCTGAACAAAATTTAACGATTTTTCGGAACAGTTCCCAGCTTAGCAGCCGCCGAGGCTCATGAACCCAGCAAGGCCAATGTCAATGACCTTCCGCAGCCGACCGCAGGATGCGCGACCCTACCTGGGGTAACCTGGGTCACCTGGGGCCGGGGTCTGTGGATCCCATATGACTTGGAAAGCCCATGGGGAAAATGGGAAAACATCGATTTTTATATAGAAATGTTGGGGTTTCCTCATCAAAAATTATAGTTTACACAAGGGACATGTCTGTTATGGGGATTCTATAGGAATCAAACATTTTCATCATTTGATATACAACTTTGTTTGTTTGATTTTGTTTGCCATTTTGACGGGCGAATCTCATGCCTAAACATGGCTTGCTGGAAAATCCACCGAGGATTTTCCCCATTGAAAGCTCTATTTATTGGGATTTCCCAGGCATATTTGATGAAACCGGAGAGTATATTCCATAATCATCTGGTTGGTGGTTTGGAACATGTTTTATTTTTTCCATATATTGGGGTGAATATTTTTTCCAACTGACGAACTCATATTTCTCAGAGGGGTAGGTATACCACCAACCAGTCATCCCAATGATTACCCTCTGGTAATTTAACCCACAGGACGAGGGGTTGTCCCGAAGGGACAACCCCTTCGTCCTACGAGGGTGAGCGGAGCTAGCAACTCATTGGTTCCATTATCCCAGTGCCCGGGAGGTTTTTCCTTGTCATAGCATTTCCTTGTCATAATCTCCTAGCCCCATGGCACATATACGCATACTTCTATTAGGGTTCATTTAGGGTTTACATAAGTTATAAAATTGCCGGGCCCAATGGAACATATACGCATATACTTCTATTAGGGGTTTGATGAGGGCTTACATAAATTATACAATCTCCCGGCCCCATGGAACATATACGCATACTTCTATTAGGGGTTTGGGTTTACAGAAGTTATAAAATCACCCGGCCCCATGGAACATATACGCATACTTCTATTAGGGGTTTCATTAGGGTTTACAAGTTATAAAATCGCCGGGCCCCATGGCCCCATGGAACATATACGCATACTTCTATTAGGGGTTTCATGAGGGCTTACATAAATTATAAGATCCGGAGTCGCCAAAAAGTGGAAACGATTGAAAAAGTGGAAATGGCCGAAACGCGTGAAGTCCGCAGAGGGTTCACTTTTCTGACTGATTTTCCCAAAAATTCGTCTTAGACCACGCGAATTCACAGATGTACCAGAGTCAAAAAACACTGCGCCTGTGCAGAGAAATGAGCTTCCCACTGACGTTCATACGACCATTCCGGGACAACCCTCAGTCCTGCCCGTAATTTAACATAACTATTGGGAATCACCATTTTATAGCTGGGTAAATCAACTATATTTCTATGGGCCATGGCTTCAATAGTTATGTGAATGTTTACCAGAGGGTAAACCTCCATTTTCCTATGGTTTTCCTATGGTTTTCCTATGGTTTTCCCATGGTTATCCTATGGTTTTCCTATGATTTTCCCATTTTCCTATGGTTTTCCTATGGTTTTCTTATGGTTTTCCACACTGTTCCAGGTTCAATGCTTTTCTTTGGTAAAAAAAAGGAGCCTTCCGATTCTGCTGCCGGCATCATCGAGCCGGCGGATCTCAAGCGCTTATTGGCAGCCCTACGTGCCCCGGCTCTCGGAGGTTTTGGCCATGGCCATGGTGGGGTGATCCTTTTTTGAGGGGAGATTTAACCCTCTGGTTATGTCAAAATAGCTATGGAACATGGCAATTTATAGTGACTTTTGCCATTAAAAATGGTGATTTTCCATAGCTATGTTAGTTTACCAGAGGGTAAGGATTTTTTTAGGTCCTCTTTTTGGGGACGAAATCCCATTCTTTGGGCACAGAGAGCACAAACCCAACGCCACACCACTCACTTGTCCTCAAAATTTGCTAGCAAATGAGGGGCGGAGGAGAAGATTTATCATGATGCAATATGAAAGTCAGTGGATAGTCCCCTGAAGCTTTTGAATCCTGTGACCATGTCCATAGGGAAAATCCTCTCCGAACCGAATCTATTTTCAGGACCGTATTATATATAATTGTACATACACCCTTTGACTAGGTAGGTGTTTGGGAACATCTTAGATGTTTGGCGAATACTTACAATTCCTAGAAACAGGAAATTTAGATACGTGAAATCCTCAATTTCTTTGGCGTATTTCACATGGACCAGATATCAGAAACCTTCAGTTTCTCCTTGCTGGTTGCCGCACCGTCGTGCTGCTCGCAGCGAGGTATGGATTTTGTAACACGACGTGTGAAGATCTTGGTGGCTCACGCAAAGCTGCTCGGAGATGTTTGTCCAGGCTCCGACACGATCCCGGTGTACAGATTGGTGAATGGTTGGTTCATCCCGGATTACAGCTTTTCTTGAACCAATAGAGAAGGTGTTTTGGACCTTGCATATCATGATTGTTTTCAGTGCGCATACCTCACCGACCCGACTTTTTCAAGGGGTATTTAAGCTCAGACATGTACCCCTAGACTGTATAGAGATCATCGTTGTTCACGCCTCTTGTTGTGCTCCATCACACGCCACCTGACGTGCAATCATATACTGTATGATATGTTTGTTTTCTCTAGGTGATTAATTAAGGCATTTAATGTTATTTTCAGGGGCAGGTTAAGGGAAGAGACACACCGAAACCCGTCGACTATGTGCGACGCGCTGCACTTCGACGGTGGTGTCGTATCTAAGGAACTTGAAGAGTCCAGATCAACACTTCACCAACTCCAACCCCTACTGCCAAGTCGAAGTGGAAGGTCTCGGGACGGGTGGCAAGCTCTCTGCTCAGAGGGATGGAAACAATCATATTTATGTTTCTGAAATTCGAATTTCCAACTTCGGGATTTTGAAGGTCTTCAGTTGTGGAAACACCCACTTTGTGGGGATAGTCTCATTTCTGTACTGACAAGGCCGCTGGCTTTTCTCAGTGAACACGCCCTGTTTCAGAGACCTACAGGGGTAGATTGGCTTCATTCCAATATTAAGAGGTAAGACATCTACATGAACTCATAACACTGATAGGCTATGTAGCATAGAGGTATGATATACATTTGCATGAACCCAGAACACCGATAGACCATGTAGTACACACGCACATCTACAATATATATATATGATATATATATATAATATGCACATTACATATTTGCAGCATTATAAGACATACATGTTCCTTTGGAGGGAGAGCCTTTGTGGACTTGCCAGGAAAGCCAAGGACCAGGTGGCAAACCAAAGCGTTGCCTGAAAATCTGGATCCGGAGTGGAAAGAGGAGCGTGAGTCACTTGGTTTCAGGTCACTTGGATTGGCCCTTTGTGGTTGGTTAATGTTGGGGATCTTTTGAAATCCATTGGATGTGTCAAATTAAAATAGAAAATCCCCAAAATTTGTTAAAATAACATCCATTGGTTACAATTCTATTTTGGATGTGTCAAATTGTCAAATCAAAATAGAAATCCATAAGCCCGGAGCCCCGACATGAAATGCATAGAAATAATGAATCATGATTGATAACTGCCAACCAATTTCACCACACCAAAGTCAACCCAGTTGCCGGTGATCAAAAAATAGCCTGAGGATTGCGGACTTCGCCGTTGGCGCCACGTTGAAATTTACCGTGCGGGACAAAGATTTCGGTACCAAGGACCGTGGTCCGACACCCTGGGCCGGTGCCATGAGATCTGGTATGGAAGTCGGCCATCAAGAAGTGGATGTCACGTTAAGCAAAGGGTTTGCTAAGGAACGCCAGTTTTAATTCCTCGGAGGGTACGAATTTTGTCCTATTTTATCCCATTTTGATGGCAATTGACTTCACGGACTTCATGGTTGTTTGGGGTAACACCGTAACCCCGCCCTTGCTGACCTGAGGCTTCTGGAATTTGCCAATTCCAACGGCTTCTATAAGTAGGGGACCTAGATTCCTAGATATATGCATCCAGCTTAGAGGGCCAGCCATTTTATAACCCAGTTATACACATATGTATACATATGTGGGATGGTATATATATATATATATGTATATATATAGTACACACCCCAGTAATATATGGGTTTAGTTTAACATATCATGGTCTTAACATGTAACCACTAAATCCAAGACCACCTGGCTTCATCGATGTCATCCCATGGCGGCCAGGAAGACGATATCCTGGGAATCGCCACGTTGCACAGCAGCCGCTTTCAACATTCCATCTTCGATGGCGCCCTGGTGAAGTTGGAGACACAGTAATAATCAATCAGTTGGACTTGGGTACATACCATATTTTCAGAGAAATCCACATATGGGCCAAGCAAAGGGAGATCCTGGGCAAGACCAGCCTGGGAGAAACCAGACCTTTTGTGAATCAGAAGCCATGCGTTGCCTGGACACCATTGTTGGTAAGCTTCAACTTGGTGTTTTGAACATAGTATTGATAGCATATCATATACATGATGATATCACATATTGTTTGATGGCTGTTTAGGGGGTATATCATAGGTTTGTGATAATCACATTGTATGGATGCCACACATGTTCCATTTACATATCAGCAAACAGTAGGAGATTACAGAGGCTCTTGGTGATTGCTCGTTCGCATGGCCGGACCCAGGATGTTTCAAGAGGTCCCGGGGGTTCCTGCTGATTCTCAGGTGAACTTCCGCTATATGATGAGAACATGAGGCAAAAGACCAATTCTCTCTTGACTGTTCGCGCGACCTCGGCTGCATACTGCAGATGCCGCCAAACTTTGATTCACGTTCATATAGTAACTGGACCAAAGAGACTAAGCTCAGCCAAACTTGATTGGTGTACTATATATATATATTACATATGTGTGTGTATGTTATATATCTTAAAATAATCTCTCTCTCTCTCTATATATATACATTGCATTCCATGTGCGTATAGTTAGTATACTAGTATACTTTGGGAATCTGTATCCGCTAGATCCAAAGAATCGAAGATACCCACCTGCTCGCCTTCAGCTTTGCTGCACCCCAGGGATGGCGATCGAGAGAGATGCCCATTGTAGGAAATTCCTAGTGATGGCGGGATGACTATAACCCAGTATTATTATATTGCATCACAACAAGAAAGAGGTGGGTGGAGTTTTGCTGTGAGGGTTTGCTGCCAAAAGGCTGTGAATTTCCCAGATTGGTCACCCGTCCCATTTCAACATGGGACTATATAAGCAAATCCTTCTAAGTTTGTATGGGATATTCCAATTTTATTGGGACTGATATAGCCTTTCAGATCCTTCAAGCTTAGACAATCCATTTTTCAGTTGCCATTTCAGGTACCTAATCTGGAGGTGCTGTACCATATAAAGCCATCTTTTGTGGCTATAATATATATAGATATAATGTATATATAATGTATATATAATGTATATAATATATATATATATTATATATATGTTATTTATTATATGTATAATATATCCCCCTAAATAGGCCTTACATAGACCTGGTTTATACCTCCAATGGTCTCTCCATGGTAGGCAAGCGGCTGAAATTCATCCCAGGTGGGCCTCAGTGGTGAAGGCGGTGTAGGCCTCACGGACTTCGAAAAGGCGGAGAGTCGCGAGGAAGGAGAAAACACGGATGTTTGAGATCGAAGAAGATCAAAGATCTGTGATTTGAATGATTTGAATGATTTGAATCCGGTTTCAATCATGAAAATGTTGGGATTCACACATTTTAACAATCCAGAATTGGCATTGGAATGATTTTAATCATCGAACATGCTTGCTTTTTGACCAGAAAAAAGTCCGTTGGGATTTATCCTCCAGTAAATTGCCATTCATAACATCATCTTCACCGGGGATAGCGGGCTTGGTTGAAGGGAAGATCCACTGGAGTTCTGGGCTTCAATACCCAAATACCCTCTGGTAAATAAATAAAAAGCTATTGAACATGGCCATTTATAGTGGAATTTCCCATTTAAAATGGTGGATCTTTCCATAGGTATGTTAAATTACCAGAGGGTACATGCTGTTAATTTGATAAGTCATGGTACTTGTAGCCACATTGGTCAATAATCGGTTAATAGGGGTTGAAGATGGTCAATAAATAAAACAACTACCCTCCAGTAGCTTGTCACAGACTACACATGAATATATATATAATATATATATACATACAGTTATATAGTTATATATATATATATATACATATATATATATACATATACTCATATATGTATATACATATATATATAGTTAATTATAAATGAATGGAAAGCCAACGATGAGGTTTTGGGTTATCCTCTCTTCACACACAATCCCATCCCCTAATTCAATGGCTACAGCTGTAGTTGTGGTAGATATATGCGTGGGTATATGTACCAAGTTTGGAGCATTGCGATGTCTTCCCTGACCACCCTCAGAAAACCCTGGTTGGGGAGTGCATGTGTTCTTTTTTTGCAGTTGAACAATTACAGCAATTTTAAGATCAGGAGGAGTCCCATGTTTTTTTCCGTTGGTTGGGCCAAGCATTGAACAATTGGTAATTGTGGCAAAAGTTATCGTCCTGCATCACCATAGTCAACTGTTTTCCTAGATTTGCTAAAAGCGATCATTGGATGATCATTGGTTAATCGGGGAATCTAGTTGGATTAATTAACTGGGATCATCGACCATTTAAAGGGGAACCAAGTGGAATTATGTTACCCTTTGCGCAACAAATCATTTTCATGAGGTAAATCAACTATACATGAACATTTTTTAAGGGCAAACTCTTAAATTACAAGCTGGTAATACATTGTTTCAATGGCTTTAGGATATAATGTTGTTTTTTCTTAAATAATTATAATTATATATATATTATTACTATTATATACATATCAAGGCATATGTAAACATCATAATCTCCGCAAATCCATGGTTCTTCTCGGATTCTGGAGGTCTTTCACGACGGGGAGCCATCCTTCCTACAGAAGCTGCAGGAAGTGATGACTGGCCGGGCATACCCAGCGCAGCCATGGTTTTTGAAATGGATGTTTGTCCCTCAAAAATATTTGGTATCATGGTTTTCGATGGTATTTTTGATGGTTTTTGATGTGTTTTTGATCCATCTCCACATCCATGTTGTTTACCAATGCCACAATGCTTATCATACATTACATTACATTACATTACATATCTATATCGATCATTTCCAGCATCCCCACGGATCTTCGCTTCGCTTGAAGCCGCTTCGCGGATGCTGACGGCACTGAGGATGCGTTCAGAAGAAAAACGAACACCAAATTCAGCCTGTGAAGATTCAAGTGTGCTTTCTCAGACCCTCAGCCGCAGCCTGCCGTGGGTGCATGATGGTCAATGGCTTTCCGGGAACGGAGCGGAGCTGAGCGGAGCTGAGCGCGGCTTTTTTTGTGATGAGCACAGGAGTTTTTCAACAATCATGGGGAAATAGTGGAAATATGTTGGGAACCTGGGAACCTTATGTGAATGTACTTCTGCGATTCCATATGTTTGTGAAAGCCAATATTTGGTTGATAAGGATTGTAAATTAGAACCATTGTAGGAAATCCTCATGAGAAACCATGTTCAATAGCCAAACATATGTACACTCGCCAAAGATGTCTAAAAGCGCCTTAGCGCATCTGGCAGTTTTTCAGTAGCGCACTCATCGTCATTTGTGCTAACATGTATATGCCCAGTGTATGATGGAAATTGCGAGACGGCATTCAAGTTCGAAAAGGTATAACTGGTTGGTGGTTTGGAACATGAATTTTATTTTTCCATATTGGGAATAATGATCCTAACTGACTTTCATATTTCTCAAAGGGGTTGAAGCCACCAACCAGATAAGATCAATTCGTTGCGATGACCCCATCATTTTCAGGGAAGAGCTTATCCCCAATAACCTGAATTTGTGCATCAAGAGGGGCTCCTTGTCATTGGTCAGATGCTAATCCAATATTGAACACTCATGGAGCCCAGCCTGCCAGCCTCTCAGAAAGGTGACACAGCAACAATAATTCGATGCTTAATAAGCCCTTACACATATTAGTAGTAGTGGTGGTGGTGGTGGTGCTGGTGGTGGTGGTGGTAGTGGTAGTAGTGGCAGTAGTGGTAGTGGTAGTAGTTGTTGCTGGTTGCTAAGCCCCTTACAAGGCTCCTCCTTGTCGGGTGGTCACCATTTTTTGGGGGGCTGGATTGTGTGCCATTGTGTGCCGCTCAGTGCCTGAACTTACCAAGATGGTAGTTGGTTCTCGCCCGAAGACACCTGCTCAAGCTTCACTATCAAGTCACTTTTTTGGGAGTTCTAGAGATTCAGGCAGCCATCAAGCATTGGCAGAACTTCCGGTGAGTTCCCACCAACCCCAAAATAAAGGTTTTTTTCCCCATGCGCTTGTGTCATTATGGCCCTTCGACCAGCATGTATAGCCCACATCAGATTAAACAAGTTGTCTCCATATACTTTCTTGTTGATAAATCGTGTGCTCATCGATTTATACCTCAAGTCAGCCAAAGTTATTCCCTTCAATCTGCTTGGTGGTTTGGAACATGAATTTTATTTTCCATTTCATCTATGGGATGTCATCCTTTCCATAATATATGGTTTGATTGTAGGTATCCCATAACCCATGACGGATCCATGGTGCTGCTATATATGGTGTGCCATGAATCCCATCCATATACCCCTGTTAGCAACCACCAACCTGTCAATGAATCCCAGGGTCTTTTTGAAGTCACCCTTAGTCATCCACCGGTCAGAGATCCCCAGGTGCCACCGGCCTCCGCAATGCTGCCAGGGCGCCCAGGGCATCCGGGGCACCCGATGTCGGGTTTAAATGATGTCCTGTATCCGCATAGAACTGCCGCAAAACTTGTCTGTCTTGAGTTTTTCTGGTATTTTTTTTAAAACACTTTTTTTTAGTTTCATATTTTTCAATCGGATTGAAACCACGGTCCAGTTTTGGACTTGACCTAAGCAACGCACCCCAGCGTCCAAGGACACCGCAGCTTACGCCGCATGTGTCTTGGTTGGCGGTGAATCCCTTGCGTCGAGCCGGACGAGCCAAACGCGGCAATGAGTTTAGCGTCACCAAAAGAAGTGAGAGAAGCTACCCTCTGGTAAACTAACATAACTATGGAAAATCACCATTTTCTAGCTGGGTAAATCCACTATAAATCACCATTTTCAATAGCTATGTTAAATTACCAGAGGGTAGGGAAGCAGAAGGAAAAGGAAAACTAATGAAAACTACCTTAATTACTGTTCTCGACACATCTAAACACTTCATGTATCTTCATGTCATTTTCGGTTCCAAAGGTTTGTTTTTCACATCATATGTCAGCAGCACGTGTCCCAGCCAAAGGGGGGCCAAGGGTCACCCTGTTCCATGACTGTTCCATGATGTTCAAATTTTCCTCATCGAAGTTGAGGTGAAACTCACAACAAGGCAAAGTTTGACAAGATCCGTCCCAAGACCGTTTCAGTGCCTCAGACAGCACAAAAAGCAGGATGATGATCGTCTCTGATGATTCATAGGGGGTGAGTTTGCAGTTTGGCTTCAACCATCACATGGCCACAGTTGCAACCTGGAGCCATCCTTCTATGCTTCAAACTGCTGGATTTTCTTGGAGCCACAGTGACACATTTCCATATTCATGTCATTGATGCTTTCATCTTTTATCTGGTTGGTGGTTTGGAACATTTTGTATATTCCATAATATACATATATATATATGGGATAATCCTTCCCATTGACTTTCATATTTTTCAAGATGGTTAAGACCACCAACCAGTTATTTTCAAGGTGGAAATGAATACGGAAGCAGCAAGTTTTCTGATTTGGTCCAGGTCATTTGGCCCAAGTTGAAAGGCGTTTCGCCCATTGGTGTTCGGCAGCTGTCCCTCCAAAAAAAAGCGCCAGACATTCCAGATTATGTTCCTTTACAGTCACATTTACTGCAGAAGTCATCCAAATGTTAGTGAATCAATTAGTGAACATACCATACATGGATTTTTTCTAGTCATCCAAATGTTAGTGAATATACCATACATGGATATACAATGATATACATGGAGCATATGAGAAGGCTTGCAGAGCTTTTTTAACGCCACAGTCAGCATTAGTGAACACCTCGCCCAGGAGACTTTGGATTTGGCTGTGGCCTCAGATGGGACCCAGGTCATCATGCCCCATGTATGATGAAGAAGTCTCCCACAAAACCATAAGCCATGGTGAAGCCAAGTAAATCGCCATTACCCTCTGGTAAACATACAAAAAGCTATTGAAAATGGCCATATTTATAGTGAGTTTTCCCATTAAAATTTGTGATTTTCCACAGTTATGTAAACGTTTACCAGAGGGTATGCCCCATGTATGATGGCATTGTCAAAGGAAACAAAAAAGTTCAAAGTGGCTGCTGCTTTCGCATAGCTGGCATAGCTGGCATAGCTGTAAATGTTGTCGGATGAATGCCAGGTGAAAAAACTGGCTGTGCCTCATTCATATCACAGGGGTCGTTGCACAACAAAACGGGGTCAGAGGCCAGGCCACTTCAGGTGCGACTTTTAGAGCTCTTCAGGTGCGTATTTAGCTGATTGAATGGCAAGCTGAGTTACCCCTGATATGAAGAATCGACTAGTTTTACAATAGTTCCCTACGTCTTGTGGTGTTTATATCCAGTTTTTGTTGGCAACAGTTACTTAAGCTGCTGGCTATTGCTGGTCTAATCAAATCGTGTATGGATAAAGTCATGTGAAATCATTGTTTCCCTCAAAACCACATGTTTTAATCTTTGTTAGTTGCCCCACTTCCCTTGGCGGTCTCAGTCATCCCATCCTTCTGTGCCAGGTGGCTATTGGAACAGAGAAACCTCAAGTGGTCGAGTACATGCCTGGGGAGGCCATTCTGGGTACTGCAAGGTGGTGCCCCCCCAAGTTATAAGTTGGTTTATAATCCCATCAACTATAGATATATAACCTATAAACCATAGTTATTGGAGTTATAAACCAACTTAGCTATCTAGGGGGCACCACCTTGTGGGATATTTCTGGGGTATTATATGATATTATGGGATTTAAAATCCCATATTTAGTTGTTTGCAAGGTGTCTATCATGTTTGATCATCATTGTTTGGGTGGCACATCTGGAATGAAAACATCCGGTTTGTTAGACATTCACCAGCTATGTCGATTGATTTTGCTGTGAAAAGTCCTTCGACTCCAACGCTGGAGCCTCTTCAGGCCTTGCGCTTTGCGGTCTTTGATGGTCCCAAGGTGCGGTTGATGAAGGTCTTGATCGTCCAAAACAAGATCAACATGTATTAGACAATTCCAACTTGCAGACTGGTGGGCCTATGGGGCCTTCAGACATGAATACATATATATATATATATTCATATGTATAATTATATGCACACCTTGGGGATCTTTGGGGTGTTTTTACTTTTTTGGATGTTGTCTTGGGTGGTCTTAGAAGGACTTATGAATGTGTACATAATTGTATGCGCATATGTATGTATATATATATGTAATATTGTATATATATAATATAATTTAATATGCATCATACACATGATATGCCTCTTGTTTTGAATCGCTTTACATTGGATATTCTGGGCATGTGATTCTGGGGATAAGTATGGATGTTTATATCCACTAGCATAATATAATATATATATATACATATATAAATATGCACTATGATATGTCAGTAATTATACGTAGATTTATATGAGTCACATACATACATATATATACAATATATATATATACAATATATAATATATATATATAAACAAATGGATGCACGCTAGATTCATGTACATGCTGAGTATGCCACAAATATATCCATGTGCACATAAAACCACCCTTGTGATCAGATTTCTTCCTGGTCTTTGCAAAGAAACAGTTCTTCCTTCCTTTCATCCCTATCCCAAGCATAAGTGGCCCAACCATCATGCCTTCATTTGCGGACGTTGGCCAGATGTCCAAGGATTGTTGATTGTGTAACGGTATCCCCTCTCAGCCTGCCTCTCATAATGTAGACTCAAACAAGAAACATGTATACATACATATCCACTTTTATGTGGCAGTGACTAGAAAGACTTGTCATTGTTGGTTGGAGAGAAACACACAGCACACTTTGGGTGTACCACATGTGTTGCTTCAGCCCTGTGTGTGTATGGCTCAAAAGTAGCAGCCCGGCAAAGTGCATCTTTTGAGTTTTTGGGGCCTACCGGTGGTAGATTGACCTGATCCAATAATAACTAGCAGACCACTTGACCATCTGGAAATTATTATGGACCACTGTCATAAACGTCATAAACTGTTATTGTTGTTGTTGTTGTTGCTGATGCTGTTGTTGTTGTTGTTGTTGCTGCTGCTGCTGCTGATGGTGTTGTTGTTGTTGTTGTTGTTGCTGCTGCTGCTGCTGCTGCTGGTACTGCTGTTGTTGTTGTTGCTGCTGCTGTTGTTGTTTTTGTTGTTGCTGCTGTTGTTGTTGTTGTCGTCGTCGTCGTCGTTGTCGTTGGGGTTCTTGAGGTTCTTGAGGTTTTTGAGGCAGTTGAGGCTGTTGAGGCTGTTGAGGTTCTTGAGGTTCTTGAGGTGCTTGAGGTTCTTGCGGTTGTTTTCTCCCTGAATTACCATAGAAACAACAACCAAAACACGTTGCCGAGATTACAAAAAATGCGTTCTAACAAAGAGCCCAAGAAGCCAAACTAATCATAACTAATCACCCCCAAAAAAAAAATCCCCTCCAGAAAGCCTCAATTTCCAGGGCCCGCCACAGGCCGAAAACGCCGAGCTGTTGGGATCCCACGTCTTCGCCAGCGAGCGCTTCTGGCCCGCCGGCTTTGAAGGTACCCTGCAGTTGGCTGAGGAGTGACCTGGCCAAAGGGCGTGACGAAATCGGGGGTTGGGGGTAGAAAAGCCATGGAAAAACATTGGAAATCTTTGGGAAATGGTGGAAAATAGGGATTCAACCATCCAAATGCCATGGCAAATCGGGATTTAACCATGATTCAACCATGATTCAATTGGGTTCTTTATGTCCTTTGAATGGAATGGAATGGGATGCATAAGCACTTTCACCATCATCCTACGAATCGCAGGTAGGGTTCATAGTTAGTTCACTCTGATGAGATAACACACAAATCGGGGACGCGGTTATCAACCACTTGCGAGTCGTGGGATGATCCTCAGAGCGATGAGTTTGTCTGGGAAGATGGAGAAATGGGCACGGGTCAAAGTTTAGGACCTCTGGCACCGCAGATTTTGGTAATGTTTATGTAGTCAAGAGTAAATGCTCGGATTGTACTCAATTGTATTCAATTTTGGGGTACCTAGGTTTCAACCCGAACTCTCAAATTCTCTGAAATGAACGAATATAACGAATGGACGACACCTTGATTGGGAAAATTTCGACAGGCTTTGGGGGTACCGGTCTTACGCATCGGGCTGGTCGTTTCCACCCGGCAATCGCGGCGAAGTTCTAAGGCAAAGCCGCAGAGAGAAGAAGTCGAATGTGATGCTGAAGGTCAAGGCGGAGTGACTTTGAACTCTTTCGTATCTTCCGGGAGATCATAGCGGGATACCATGAAAAATCATGGATTTTCATGGGATTTTTCCATGAGGGGAATATGGTTGGACACTTTTTTGGGGGATATGCTGTGATTTACTGGATACACTGGTTGGGAGTTTCATGTTGTGCATGTTCAACCCAGATTTTGGAAGATGCAATCGGTATCCTGAATCTGGACTTGGCATATGTTCCCAGCATAAATTGACTCCTGGTTGATCAATAGATTCATTCCCCGATAGCCAGTGATAGCTTCAATCAAAATGGCGCGCTCTGTATCATATTCGTCGATCTTATCTATCCCGGGATGATCATCCTCTACCCTCTGGTAAATTAACATAGACCCTGGTAGATAGGGGTTGGAAGACTAGTTTCCACTATAAATTGGTCATTTTCAGGGTCTATGTTAATTGATCATCCTCTAGTTTCAGTTGAAACCTTCGCTAGACATTTCAGGACCGCAACCTGATAGAAACGGTCTCATGCTACACCATTTTTCGAGATCATTTTGGTATGACACCTCAAAATGCGGCATACCCCAGGGACCCCAAGTACTCCCAATTAGTGCAAATCATCTTGCAAATCATCTCGCAAACCATCTCGCAAACCACCTTACAAATCATCTTGCAAATCATCTTGCAGATCATCTTGCAAATCATCTTGCAAATCATCTTGCAGATCATCTCGCAAATCATCTCGCAAATCATCTCGCAAATCATCTCGCACATCATCATCATCATCATCATCCTCATCATCATCATCATCATCCTCATCATCATCATCATCATCATCCTCATCCTCATCCTCATCATCATCATCATCCTCATCATCATCATCATCCTCATCCTCATCCTCATCATCATCCTCATCCTCATCCTCATCCTCATCCTCATCCTCCCATTAATAATCATCATCCCATTTATCCCCATTTATCCCCAATTATTCCCAATTACCACAGTATTCCCAATGGAAATCGTCCCATTTCTTGGCTCTTGTGACCGGTTCTCAGATCGCTGCCAGGTGGTGACCCCCGAAAGCGCGCTGCCACATCAGTTCGCTGCCGCGGTGAAGGAGTCCAGCGGTGTCAACGGCTTGGAACGCTTCGAGGTGCGCCGCGGAGGCTGTGGGATGAGTGCGGTCCATGAAAGCCATGGAAGCCATGACCAACTTGGCATGATGCCAACAGATACCCTCTGGTGAACTAACATAGCAATGGAAAATCACCCTTTTTATTGGGAAAATCCACTATTTCAATGGCCATTTTCAATTGCTATGTTAGTTCATCAGAGGGTAGCAGCCATGAAAAACTGGGATTTTTAGTCAGTGGGGATCAACGTTTGGGGGATGGTGGATCGATGTGGATCCAGAAAATGTCAACCATAAACCAACCAGGACTGCGACTGTGAAATGATCCTCATCCCGTAGGAGCATGGCATACGCAAATTTATAAACCGCGAATTGGATCAAATTGGTTCAGCATTATTGTGATACTATTGCTTACTATATGTTGCTATCGTGAATTGCATGTTATACATGCACATAGGTGAACATGAACAATTATCTATGTTCCTACAATGGCAAGCTTAAATGGATGAACAAGGATGAACTTTAAGTTAATGTGGCAGGGTATTTGAGGGATAAGGCATGAACATTGGGTTTGTTGGAATCAACCCAAGTACCGATAAGAAATTAAAGCCATCAATTTGGTCAATGTCAGTGAAACAGAAGGTGTAAAGCCTACTTAATGATTCTTTGCGGCAGACAAAGTATAGTTTAGTTTAGCCAATTTTTTGTCAGTGCACGAATGCAACATGAGCTGTGTGCCAAAAAGCCTTACCTCAATAGCCTGACAGGTGGAAATGAAGGAGTTACGTGCGCGCATGCCTTTCTTGAACGAAGCAGATGCTGGGACGTGGGGTCAGCTGCGGGGGGGTCCGTTCCATTTCGTTCCCGTAGGAGTGGGGTGGGGGGGTTCGGTGCTGATTTTGGGGTTTTCCCATTGAAACACTGGATGGAAGGGAATGATTCCTCGGGGGGGCCGCACTGGTCCCACGGCCCTAACTGATGAATGAAGTTGGTAAGTTGGTATTTTTTTCCCTCATGTATTCTCATCAGAAAGTGTAAGCCACATGTCCCAACTAATTACCCTATGGCTATTTAACATAGCCATGGACAATCACCATTCTTAAGAGGTTAAGTAAATCATCCATAAATGGTACATTTTCCATAGCTATGTTAAATAGTCAGAGGGTAATAACAAACACATGAACACTTGAATGAAGAGCAAGAATCCTGCAGGGTTCATGGGACGGCTTTATGTAGCTGGCCTAGGTGAACTCTGGAAAAACCTGGTGACTAGACCAACCGCTGAAAGGGATGCCGTGCATTGTAATGTGGTAAAACCCCTTTTGCGGTATGGTTTTTCGACGTTTTCACTTCGCCCAAGTGGGTTTTGTTCAAACATAGGATGCCCCGTAGTTACTTAAAAAGTCCGCTGGTTAATCATTGATCTTTCCAACGAACATCGGCCATTTTGGGAAACACAACTGCTACAGAAACAGCACGAAACGACGCCCTGGAGTAACCTGCTGTTTCTTTCCTGGAATTTTATGCCCCCCCTACTTGGCGAAAAAACCACCAAGTAGTTCTCCCCAAGGCTCCATGGGTATCTGGTTGGTGGTTTGGAACATGAGTTTCTTGACTTTCCATATAGTGGGAATGTCATCATCCCAACTGACTTTCATATTTTCAAGATGGTTGAAACCGCCAACCAGATATGGTCGGTATGGTGTATTCTTGCTGTCTCACCGCAAAGGCCTTGCCTTGAGCCACCAGCGCCTCCAAGGACTTTGTGTGGCACACTCGGGTGTTTGAAGCCTTAAGAGACGAGGTGCGGTTTGGGCGTGAGGGGGACGACCAGGGCCGGCCAGGAAGGCAAGTGACTTTTTCGCACCAATTTCGGGGTTTCAGGTTGTATTTACTTTGGTGCCGGAACTGACTTTGGTGCCGGAACTGACTTTGGTGGCGGAACTGACTCACAGGTGCGCGTTTTCAGAGGGAGCTAGCACGGAACTTGCTACGTCTTGCCAATTCCAGTTGCTTTGAATTCTTGTCAATCTATTTCTGAGCGGTGGAGCTTCAAACATCTTCAAACATTTTTATGTTCAACCGTAGAAAATGGGATGATGATTCCCAATGACTATAGCACCAACCAGACTTCTTGAACCAAACTATATAAATCACTCATCCAGCTGTTAGATCCCAGTTTTCCCTCATTTTTTGATTCTTACACTCCCAATTAAATCATATTAAACCACGATGTTTCATTGTTACAAAGTATGTCCCAATTAAATCATATGTTAAACCACATTAAACCACATTGAACCACATTGAACCACATTAAACCACACTGAACCACCATTTTTCATGGCTCAGCCAGGGACGACTTCCCCATTTTTCCGGGTCCCCGCCGTCCCGGGCAGGACTGGTTGGTGCAGAGGGCCAGGTTGATCACCTCCGCAGACAAGTGCCGCCGGCGCCAAGTTGTTGGGATATTGGATGACCGTATTTATTTACCATGTATCTATGATACGTCATAGTTGGATAATTATGGGTAGATTATGGGATATAATGAATGTTAATGGATAATCTATGGTATGTCATAGTTGGATGATGTTGGATGCATTATGTATCTGGGTAAATTATAACGACCTCACTGTTCTCCCTCACTGGAAATCATGGTTAATAAGGGAAATCATCCCCAAATGGGCTTAATTCAGGTTAGTGAAATATTATAATTTGCCCAGATGGTATGTCATAGTTGGATGCATTATGTATATATAACATTTCTATAACTATCTATAACTATGGTTAATGAATCTAATGAATGTTAATGATATATATATATAATTACACCTAATGTGCGTGTATATACATTATATATTATTATATATATATATATGTGTATACATATATACGTATGAATATATGCATACATAGGGTGTATATATATATATATACATATATATATATACATACACGTGTTTTTGTGCGAATGATACAGTAATGTTTGGGTCATTGTGAACCTGGTTTGAACCATTGCCAAGTGGGATGCACATGCAAGTTCTCTTTGGCCAGATGACATCTCCATTTGTTCAACCATTTTTATGTGCAGGACAATCACCGACAAACGAAAACACATTGATGTTCCATAAAACCATATTGCCATTTGGTTTTAGAGACGTCAAAGTCTTTCAACAACTCCCTAAGAGGAACACACTGGTTACAAGCAACCCTTGTTGCTGTACTTTGCGTTCGCAGGTTTTCAGGATCCTTTTACCCTTCAGCCATTCAGACTATTGACTTGACAAAAAGCACTGACAAAAGAAATCGATCTCGTTGTTTCGAGGTCTTCCTCTTCTTCTTTCACAAGAGCACTCCCTCTAGGAAGTTCGACCGATTCAACCTATCGCCCAGCACTTCAATCAACAAGATCATACTGCTGAGTAACTTCAACAAACCAGATGAAATTCAATCAATTCCCCATAGTATCCATGGTGCTGGTATATATGCTAACATTGGGGGTATATTCATGGTAAATGTTACCATATATAGCATACATGGATCCTATGGGCATGTGCTGAAGGGGAAACTCGGCAGACAGCCAGGATCTTTGGCATTCCTGTGGGGCACATCGCAGGTTCCGGTGGGGCAGTTGGCCAGTTGGGTCGGAAACCGGCTGGAAGACGGCTGGAAGATGCTGGACTTCGGTAGGACATCATATATGTATTACCATCTGGTTATTTAACATAGGAAAATGGTTCATTTATAGATGGTTTACCTATTAAAAATGGTGATTTTCCATGGCTATGTTAAATAACCAGATGGTAGGAGCACCTCTGCCTCTGCTTGAGAGAAGTATGGCCCCAATCTCTGTAGCCAACAACTCTCCCAGCTTTTCAGTATTTTTCCGGTGACTGGGATATATTGGAGAGATTATCTATTAAAAAAAATATCAGGGGATTTTGATTTCCAACTGGGATATATGTTGCCCTCTAGTAATTTAAAATAGCTATTGAAAATGGCACATAGAAATAGTTGATTTACCCATTAAAAATAGTGATTTTCCAGTTTGTTATGTTAGTTTACCAGAGGGTAAACCTCGATTTTCCTATGGTTTTCCTATGGTTTTCCCATTAAAACCTCCATTTTACCTATGAAAGGCCTCCAAAAAGTTCGTCCTCGCTGCGAGGACGACTCTTTGAATCCATCTCGCCCAAGGGACAAGCGATTGGCGTGCTGGTTTCTTGGAGAAACAACATGTCAAGGGTGCAATTGGTAGATCAAAAATATTGCAGATTCATGCAGAATACTTACATCATATAGTATGCGTATGTAGTATATGTTAGTTTTTTTTGTTAACATTCATAGAGTATATCTATTTTCTTTTTGTTAGGTTTGTGTTTGGATTTTCTTTTAGTTTTATGTGGCCAGGACCGCAGCTACTGCACAACAAAGCGATAAGACAGTTGCGATTCACGAATTAGGTGTGGCTGATCAGAGCAACAGGACTGACAAAGGTCTGTTCTAATTTGGATGAGCCCATTGCTGGCCCTGAGTAGATTCAAATGACCTTTGGAACTTCGTTGTTGCTTTGATCCTGAGGTACACATAGGGACCATAGGGAAATCCGTGTGTGGAATCGTTTGACTACGGCCATGTCCGTTCTGATGTTGACCGTCTTGAGATTTGTAATTCCAACATTTATAAATGCCCAAGTGAATGGCCTTTGGCGAGCGCTGAGGGAAAGTTTCCTCAACAATGCTAATGTTATGCAGTATGTAGACCTCACATGTGCTACTTTGGCACCCCTGAGATTTCAATTGTCCCAGAAAGTGGGAAAAGTCTGCAGGGACCATGACCAAGCCGCTTGGCGCCAGCGCCTAGGATTGGGGCATGTTCATGCAGAAGCATCGCGGGAACACTTGGGATGCCCAGCAGGCCACATCCAAACATTGGGAGGATGTAAAATGACCCCCAAATGGTTGGTTTTTGGGATGGTCTCTTGAGTGGGTTTTACCAGATTTTATCACTCTACAACTGTTTTCAACTCCAATATCCCAGCATGTTAAACTATATCCTGCAAGGAAGATGTGCAGGACGCTCAACTGCTCAAGAATCGTGCCTATGTTTTGGTTGTCTGTTTTTCTTGGTCCATGTTACGGAATATCTTAAATCTTTAAGTGATTATACATGCGAATACCTGGGAATACTTAAGTTTTACAACTATATACATATACATATACATATGCATATACATACACATACACATACACACACACATACATACATACATACATACATACATACATACATACATACATACATACATACATACATACATACATACATGCATGCATATATATATATATATATACATAATTATTTGCATATACACGCATATGTGGACACACACACACATATATATATATATAGATGACCATATGCAAATACAGAAAAAGAAACTAAAGATTTGACTCTTACTCAGCTATGACGCCAACTTGAATCCTTCTTGGGAAGCCCCACCTGCAGCAACCCAACTCGATGTCTGGGGGATGGGATTTGGTAAGAATTTCAGCTATGGGATGGATGACCATACCACATATGTTTAACATATACTGTATATTATGTGTAGCATATGTATATATATATAATTATATATATAATTATGTATAATATATAATTATGTGTAATATATATATTATATATATATATGTATGTGTATGTATATGTATATGTATATGTATATGTATATGTATATAGATAGATAGATAGATATATATATATATATATATGCGTACCATGTTTTGACCATGACACATACGGAAGGTCATTGCCCTCCATTGAAGCTTACGACACTTTCGAAGCCAGGAAAGGCTCAACTTGACCTTCACGCTCTATGACTTAGACGGTGATGGAATGTTGTCTCTTGGCTGGTTGTCAGAACGATGCCGCCTTTTGGAGCTTCTCAGAGTTCCATGAGCCCTATCATTTGGATGGCAGAGTTGTGCGGTAGCTACGCTTAAGAAATTCCCAGGGATAGGGAACCCAGCAAAGGCTTAAACCAAGATTGGTCTGAAAAAACAACAGCTAGGAAATTGTTTGCCATATCTCAGGTTCAGAAACATCGTGAATTACCAACGAGGTGCTTTTCATGCTATTATGAACTTCGCAGCAACTGACCACTACCACTGGATATGTACATAATCACTTTAGTAAGGCAGTGCCCCCTTGGGTCTGGAAAGTGCACCAAACGCTGTGTAGCGATAGGGCCCCCAAAAAAAGCTAGACAAATAATGTCCACATCTGAAGCTGATTTGCACAAAGTTGCGTCCATGCAAGAGGCGAAATTAGCGATACCCTATAGCGATACCTTTGCGATACCCATTTGTTCAAACAAATGGTCCCAGACCACAGATAGCCCCATTTTCTCCTTTCACTTTTCCTTCCCTCTTCTTTTCCTCTTCCCTTCCTCTTCTCTTCCTCTTCTTTTCCTTTCCCTTCAGTTTTCCTTTCCTCTTCCTTTCCTTTTTCCTTCCCTTACACAGATTTGTTGCTCAATCATCCTCAGGAATACAAGACCATGGTTACCACTAGCAATAAGCCACCCCCCCTCCCCCGCAAATAGCGATACTTTTGGTTTTGAGTAAGGCAAACATATATATATATATATATACGACGGCGGCTCGTACGTAGATTTAGATAGCAGTAGATAAAAACGATGTCCTGTTCCCACTGGTTGTATGATGGTATCCTGGAATTCCCACTGAAAATAGATGAACATAGGAAAATAAATGCAGGCCGACTGCTTTGTTTTCCTAAGACATCAGTGATTGCATGATCGTTGCAGGTATAGAACACCAACGGGAAAACATTAATTATTTTGATTTCATTTTGACGAATTTGTTACCCCACATCAACTCATGGTAATCTAATCATAACATAACATAGCTATGGAAATCTATGATATATGATATGACTTGTTTGCAGATGATTTATGATGATTTACCCTCTGGTAAACTAACATAACTATGGAAAATCACCATTTTTAATGGGTAAATCCACTATAAACGGCCATTTTCAATAGCTATGTTAAATTACCAGAGGGTACTGGTTGAACGTGGTACAAGAACCATGGGAAAACCCATGGTTTTTGGTCGGTTTCTCGCCGAGGTCTTTGGCGGATGCCATCAGCCTGTCCAGTGAGGTTGTACGCCTTGAAAAGATCTACGGCGAGGCGGGGTTTATGACGTGGGAAGCATCCTTTTTTTCATAGGGAAATGGGACTGAAAAATCAGATGGGACTGGTCAAATCTATGAAAATCCCAACTTTTTGGAGGTCTTTCATAGGTAAAATGGAGGTTTTAATGGGAAAACCATAGGAAAAACATAGGAAAATGGAGGTTTACCCTCTGGTAAACTAGCATAGCGAACTGGAAAATCACCATGTTAAGAAGAAAATCAACTATAAAAGGACCATCTCCAATAGCTTTGTTAAATTACTAGAGGGCATCTAAAATGAGATCCATGTGTTGGATTGTTTTGGCAAAACCTTATAATTACTTACATACTGTTAGGGTGTATTTTAAACATTCTAACATGAATCGAAAGTCATTTTTTTTCAATCCTAAAGGCCCGGATGAGATGGAAAAACATATCCCTAAAGTTCCAGAAATGGATGATGGGGAAATTTGCAGGAAACCCTAGATTTGGGTTAAACACCAGGGTTTGCGGTGAATCTTCCTTCAAATCAAGCCATTGACAACTGTGTCATTGGGTATGCCCGAAAAACGCATGTTCCTGATCTGTGTCATGAACAACAGTTGGACATAGTTGGACTATATTATCCATATTGGGGGACAGTCATCCAATTAATAAGACTTCATATTGAGTATTGTGACGAATATCATTCATGTGGGATGACCATAGCCCACATATCATGTTTTCACCATGGCGCCTCTGACTATGTGACTATGCCTGAAGAATGCCAACAGATGGCTGCTGAGTTCATCCCATGACATTCCATCAACTATCCCATGTTTTCGAAGACATGTTCCCCATGATACGGTTGTTGCGAAATCCAATAAACCACCAAGCTTGGATGGTTGAAACATGCTGAAACCCTAAAAGTAACGGGATAAACAACCTATCAACTGCAGGATTTCGCAACCATCCACAGTATTGTCCTCACAACATATGGCTTTATTTTAGGTACAGTACCTTAGGGCCTTAGGGTCCCATTGACCTCTCGAAATCCCAGGACAGCAACTCCATCGGAGTTTGTGAAGAGATGCGCTGGCTCTACGGGCTCATCGCCAATGCCGCGGAGCCGGGCGGATTCGATGATTCGATGAGGGTTGTTTGATGGGGGTACCCCAATAGCTGGTTTGTTGATCATAAAAAAACCCAATCTAAAATGGATGATAACTGGTGGTACCCCCATGACTTAGGAAACCTCTAAATGTTGGAAAAAGTCCAGGTCCCTTGTTTGGAAAACACAGGAAGTAGAGTTCCACCTTTTATTGGTTGGAAATTGATGGTTCAACAAGGTCGCTTTCCACTTGCTTGGTTATTTCGCGTCGGGCAAGTCCTGTGATGACACATTCCATGTCTTGGCCACATGCGATGTCCAAGCGGACCATTAACATAGAAACTTCGGGATTCTGGTTGGTAACCTGGTAGTTTTTCCAGCATTTTGACACTTCAATCCTATCTGAGAATCGATGATCCGAATTGACAAATTTACCCTCCGGTAATTTAACATAGCTATGGAAAATCACCATTTTTCAATGGGTAAATCCACTATAAATGGCCATTTTCAATAGCTATTTTGACATAGCCAGAGGGTACCTTCGATAGCTTGAAACCACCAGCCGCTGAGCGTTGGCATGGCATTTTTTCACTGCTCACTTCCGACAAATCGTGGCAGGACGGTGGACGTGACGGTGGACGCTTGGACCTGCAGGCGAGGTGGCGGAGGTTGCGGGGACGTTCACCATTAATTTTACTGGTAAAACCATAGGAAAAACATAGGAAAAGCACAGGAGGATGGAGGTTTACCCTCTGGTAAACTAACTAATAGCCACATAGCTGACATAGCTGTGGAAAATCATCCCCTTAAATGGTAAATCAAGAATTTCTATGGCCATTTTCAATAGCTATATGTTGGTTTATTGCTTTACCAGAGGGTAAACCCAATGCCATAAACCATCACCAGCTTGATGGATGTCGACCATCCCGGGATGATGTAATGGTATGGTGTATTGGGTTGCCCACATTACAACTAGCCTCCAGTCATCAAAGGTGGTCTGCTGGAAAACCCACCACTGATGATATTCCAAGCTACAAAAAAAATCAAAAAATACCATGTATACCATTCTCCTGCATGAAAATACGGCATTTCGCAGCTGTAAAAACCACTCAACCACTGTTTGATTAGAGGTCAATGGGACTTTCAGGACCCTAAAATAGAGTAAATAGAGGTACCACTGTACCATAGAAAGCCATATTTTGTGGGGACATTCCCCTTAGCACTTGCAGCACGTACATGTAGGATCATGTAGGTACCTCCGAGTTCCTTAAGAAATGGTGCAGGTCTTCAAGCAATTGCGGCCGGATCCCTCCCTCATGGCCGCGTCGGGCAGCACAGATTTGACGTTGGCGGCAGCTCATCATCTTCCGGAAATCAAAGGAGGCTAGCTGAGAAACACCCCAATGACCACCTACCCTCTGGTAATTTAACATAGCTATTGAAAATGACCATTTATAGTTGATTTACCTATCAAAATTGGGGATTTTCCAGTTCGCCACGTTTTTTTACCAGGGTAAATGGGAAAGTCATCTTCAAACAGGGGAAATTGATGGAAATTGTGCGGTCCATGGCCATGTTTGATTACCACAAATTCCACTTGCAACTGGAACAGCGGGAAACATTGACATTGTGACATGAAGCGAGATGCTGCAGCCATCCAATCTCGCAAGACGATCTGAAGAGATATGGAGCTGCATTTTTGGCCACTGAAGATCTATAATTATTACGTTTGTGTATGTGTCGTTGGTTTTTTTGGTTGTTGTTTAGCTTTCGAGTAGGTGTATAGTTGGTGTACAGTTACTGCCTCCATGCAGAAATGTTGAAAGAGAAAGCCCACAAATGGGGAGACACCCGCCAGTGCAAATGAACAAGCTGCAATTCCTTAGATGATCTTTCCAACTATTCCTCATATTATGAAATAGTATGCATCTTTAGTACTGTATTCCGTATTCCTCGTGTGCTTATGAAACACAGTTTAAACATTTGAAGATTGAAAGCTTGTATATTAAAACTGCATTTTTGGATCTCTAAACGCAAACGCATACGTGTTTTGTTATTGTTTTATCATGTTTTATGGTATTTTTGACAGCAATGAGGGCCATGACATCATGGAATTCATGGGAAATCTCCGTTGCTTCCATGGCCCCCGAGGATGTCGAAGTGCTTGGATGCCTTGGCAAGAGTCGGTCGATGAAGGAGCCTGCTTTATGGCCATTCTTTGGGAGCATGATGATTTTCACCCAATTTTTTCAATACAATTTTCAAACTATCCCGTTTTTTGTCAGGAATTTGAGAAATTATGGCTAATGTATAGGGGAAATTCCATAGGAACATATGATTCAAGTGCCAAAAAGCGAAACGCGACTTGGAGGATCAGTCCATGTTTCGCAATTGCTGTGTAATGAAGAACAAAAACTCTTCCCGAGAGAGATCATTGTCAATGGTGAAGCCGCAGTGATGTAGCTTTACCCTCTGGTAAACATACAAAAAACTAAGGAAAATCACCATTTTTCATGGGAAAATCCACTATAAATGGCCATTTTCAATAGCAAACTGTTAAATTACCAGAGGGTAACACATCTGTGTAAACGTTTTTTTTGTTTGTTTGTTTCTATGAGCAGATTCATTGTGATGTTGTGTCAACCCCAGATTCGGAGGTTTAATTTTAGGTTGGATGTCCCACCTCCAGCTAGTGATTTAATTTGTTGCTGCAAAGGTGCCATTTAGTTGAACAGGGTAGTAGTTTGTTTATTTGGTACCTCCCATTTGCTTGGGTATAGTCAATGTGGTAAATCATGGTAAATCCAAGACCGGCAGAATAAGTAATGCCAATGTCAGTGTCAATATGGCAGGAACATGTGCGGCAATGCCCAATTCTAGTGCCATGCCAAGAGTTACCATGTGGAATATCCAGCATGTGCAGAAGGAATCCTTCTTCATACTATGGAAAATCCGCTGGATTATCACTCCCAGAATCAGTTTAAGGCAAAACCTACAGTAGAACACCCTTTTCATGAATGTTCCATTACCAGTGTAGTTCCTGGAATGAATGTTCCATTCATATAAAATAATATAAACCCAGGGCCCAGGGGTCAAGAAAACACATCGAATCAGTGGATCGATAAGGTGTTCCTCTATATCCCGGCAAAAACAACATGTATTGTACTTATCAATGCTATCCATATATATGATATAGCCACTCATAGGGATAATCATGTACCTATCAATATTTTATGTGACTCGTGTTTTATTGAATCGGTTTTCTGGCTTGTTGAAGAAGTGGTAAATCATACCAATCCCGGAATGGCTTGGGATGATTGAAAAATTCTTGGGAATACTTGATGCAATGGATTTTTTTTAAGATCAAAACTTACCCATATGCTCCATATATGGTATATTTACCTACATAACTGGGTGATTTTTAGGGCAAATGTTGGCAAATATTCCAGCACCATGGAGCATCTGGGTTAGTAAGTTTCCCAGCATGATGAATCGATGTTTTCATCGTAAAAGCACGCGAAGATCCGATGGAATTGTGAATAAATACGGTATAAAAATTGTATAAATATAGCAATAAATAATTATATACTTGGTGGCTCATCCCACTTAGTAAGTGGGTTATAAAATGTTACAACCCCAGTTATAAATGGGATAAGTAGGGTTAATCCACTTATAACTGGGGTTATAACCCACTTACGATTCGTGGGATGAGCCACCAAGTATATAGTGGATATATGGTATATATTGATTATAATACCGTATGGAATTGATATGAATATATATATATATACTATAATTGATGATAAATGATGGTATGAATTTTCATGAACTATCGTGGAAGCTTTGGGAACATACCCTCTGGTAAACATTCACATAGCTATTGAAAGTGGGCATAGAAATAGTTGATTTACCCATTAATAGCATGGTGATTTTCCATAGTTATGTAAACGTTTACCAGCGGGTAAATCCGGAACATACATTCAACAGGGGTTCAACAGGGGTTCATCCCTGATTTTTCTTCATGGATCAGCAGGCTGGCGCATGAACCCCGAGAAGCCATGAGAACGGTGAATGGTGAGCTGAGAATCTTCCTGCACTGGCTATGGGCAGATACATCCTACATCATCCTACCACCTTTCAGTCTGAGATGACCCGATGGTTTTCATGTGTCAAAAATTACGAAGTGCACCATAGTGCACCGAACAAACAAATCCTTCAGCGTTCCTGTGCTTTTGAGATGTTCTGCTTCGGGTCTTCGGATACTCTGCTTCCCATCCCCCACTTTGGTCCGTTAGACTCATCCCAATAATTCAAGGTGGGTAGGGTGCAAGCTGTTGGGCCTCAAAAAGGAGACGTATTGGATTTATTGGACCATTAGACGCCACAATTCCGGAAAAAAAACATGGATAGTAGACATGACCATGAATGACCGTCAATGACCCGAAATGACCATGACTCTGAATGACCAACATATTTTTTGATTCCTACCCTCCGGTAATCAAAGGTAGCAATGGAAAATCCCATATAATGAAGAGTTTTTATGGGAACATCATTTATAAATGGGGTATTTTCCATGACCACGTTTGACTACCGGAGGACACATCCGTAGTACCTTCCATTTGCCCATCTCCTTGTGGCCGTGGTGGCCTTCGCTCGTTGATTTGAATGGTACCGAATGGTATGGCCCTCCGCAAAGCGTGGGGAGCGCAACACATTCAGCCGCCGTTTGCGGAGACATGTGCAAAGCTACGCATGAAAAAAGGATGACGATATGATAACACATGTTTTTTTTACAAGTAGCCTCTGGTGAACTAACATAGCAATGGAAAGATCCACCATGTTTAATGGGAAAATCCACTATTTCTATGGCCATTTTCAATAGCAAACTGTTAGTTCACCAGAGGGTAGCACCCACTCAGGGAACCCCGGGAAATTTTCATCCTATTCCAATCCGAAGCCATAAATAGTCCAAAAATGTCCCCCCTTGCGAAAAACCATGGCTGGAAGGAGGTGCTTAGTCTTCGGGGGATTATGATGATTATTTACAGTAATTAATACTTAACTATAATGAAAACTATAGCTATAGTTGGCTTATAAAGCCATTTACCATATAGTTATATGAGTTATTAACCACTTACCAACTGGGATGCGCCAGAAAGTAGGTTTCTTGCTTTGACCGCCACGAGCCACAGCTGGGTGGTGGATCTTTGCTGTGGCGAGAAGGGCGGTGAATGCTGCACCCAAAACTTGATGAGCATTCTATAGCATTCTCCCACTATTACACCATATCATACCATGTATATATATATAACGCACACACACACAGGTGTCACAGGTGTAATCATATAATATATTAATATCACACGCACATACATATATAGATATAGAATGATATAGACTTGTTTGGATGATATAGATATAGATATATGCAAAAAAAGTATTCATTATGACATATTATGAAATCGCAGAGATATCCTCAAGTTTCGACTGGTCGAAACGTTGTGGTTTTCCTCGAAATCTCTGGCCAGGCAGCTGGCTCGGGAGGCCGGAGTTCTCCTATCGGAGGTGGAACGTCAGGGGGACCCAGCCGCTGGCCATTGGGCCATGGGTGAAGACAAGCTGCTGGTTGGAATTTTAAATGACTGGTTAATAATGGTTAATATATGGTTAATAGTGGTTAATATTTGGTTAATATATGGTTAATATATGGTTAATAGTGGTTAATATTTGGTTAATATATGGTTAATATATGGTTAATAGTGGTTAATATTTGGTTAATATATGGTTAATATATGGTTAATATATGGTTAATAGTGGTTAATATATGGTTAATAGTGGTTAATATTTGGTTAATAATGGTTAATATATGGTTAATAATGGTCAATATATGGTTAATTAATATATGGTTATTAATGGTTAATGACTGGTTGGTGGTTTGGAACATGATTTTTATTTTCCATTTCATATATGGGATGTCATCCGAAACCCATTGACGAAGTCATACTTTTCAAGATGGTTAAAACATTGTTAAAACCACCAACCAGCCTGGTTTTGGAGGTGTAATTAATGTGATGAAATCGACTTTTTGATACAGAATGACTTTTGATATATAAAAAAACACCATAGGTTGTGATTGACTATGATTAGATAAAATGATTCAATCCTGGGTTTTATTTGGGTAAAACTCGAAGTGTCTGGGGCATTGTGGGGCATGCTTTTTTTTTGCTACTTGCTGGTGGTCAAGGAGGTACAGTAGCTCACAAAAGCGACCTCAAACTCCCCAAGCTAGTGATGACTGCCGCCAGCAAAGGTTACCGTGCGATGTTCGACGAATTTGACACTGACGGCAGTGCCGAAATCAGCCAAGCTGAGTTCGTTTTTGTGCAGACCTCAGCTTTTTTTGAATTGGAGCACGGGTCTTATTGGAACCCACGGTCATGGCTTGACTTTACATGACTTTACTATTGGACCGTGGGGTGGGCAGTGGGGTGATACTGTGATGCAGCTATCAGCTATTCAGTATTCCCAAGGACGAAAGCACGGTTCTCCCATGTTTTCTCTCATGCCACTGCACGCTCGATGCGGTTCTATGTGGTTTGATGCCATAGTTCCAGTCAGTTGCTTGGAAGAACCCCTGCAGAATGGGTCAGGCCGCCATAGGCCGCCCATAGGACACCAGTAGGGTCTTGATCCTACTTGGATGTGCACCCCACTAGCAAGTGGTTGGTAGCCATTATGAACCATGATTTGTTCACCAAGTTTTAGGTAGGTCACTTCATCTTCCAGTTATAAATATGTTATTATCATTGTCTCATCATGTCTTATCAGTCTTATCATTGTTATGATTATTCATTGTTATGTCCATTGTTATTATATTATTGTCATGTTTGTGTCATCTTTGTATCATGATTATTTATATATATATATTATATTATATTATATTATATTAAATTATATTATATTATATTATAGTTACTGATGATTTTTAGAGTGTCCAACTAGGTAACCAAAGGATCCCCACCCGCGGCCCATCTCCCTCCGTCAGGTCATCATGCAGATTCTGGAGGTGAAGGATGCCAGAGACATCCCCACACCCATCCTGAACCGTGGCCTTGGCTCGTTGCTTTTTTTTCGGATGAGGGGATCATGGGAAAACCATGGAAAAACCTGTGAAAATCATGACGAATCATGACG